CCCATACTCTGCCCCCACAACACTCCCCACATATACACACACCATAAACAACCCCCCCCTCCCCCCCAAAAAAATAACACCAGAAAAATAAGAAATACTGTGTGGAAACCTAAAATATTTACACATCTGTAAATGCATCAGTTGAAAGCTAAAATCTACCAGCTTTGAAAAAAATGTCTGCTATATAAACTCAAGTTTCTAGGCACTTTGGACCAAATTCTATCAATTAAATACACAACTCCAAATAAAAAAAATATTTTAAAAAATATGTTTACAGTTTTCTAAGTTGTATGAAATAAGAAAAAATAAGCAGGGGAAATATACCGCAAGGCATGACTAATTTAGCACTCCTCATTTCAGAATATTTGACTTCAGAAAAGTGCTTTCAGATATTTTACACTGTATGCAAGTGATCGTTTCACTTACCATAACATCTATGAAATAAAAAGCTCTCTAAGAATCATTAATATTAAACACTTACCATATCCTCCAAGGACGTCTTTCATGCTTTGGTTCTCTGAATCTTTTTACTGAAAGAAAATTAGAAACAATTGGCTATTCCCAAAGTAAGAAAAACATAAAACCTATACCAGCCTTTACTACTCTAATGCTATAAATTAGATCCTTTATTCAGGGACGCGTTTCAACATATTGTAATCCTGTAGGGACATTGACTGAATAACAATTCCAGTTTTTTTCAGTTCCAAAGTTCTCCGTACTTTGATAGTCAAGTATTACAGATTACCAGGAATCCCGGTTTTCCATTCGCTGTGGAAAAAACACAGATTTTCTCATTTAAAGGAGAAAAATGCAGATTTCCCCCTTTAAAGGAGAAAAACAGGAAACCGTGGGTTTCCCCTTGCTGGGAGCTGGAGGAGGGCGATTGGAGGAAGGGGGCATCATGTGCATGCAGGAGGTGCCACACGGGCAGCATGCAGTCAGGTAGGGTGGTGGGTGCAGCCCCAGCATCTGGATACAGGTAGGTCTATGTTGGGGGTGGGATTGGAAGGCCAGGACTTGGGGGCCATCCAGGGCACATATGTGTGTGTGGCAGGGGTGTGTGGAGGGTGGGTACCTGCTGCCACTAGGGGAAGTCTGGGGCCCAGGGCTGTAGCGGGCAGGAGGGTCTGAGACAGCACTCCATGATGCTCCTAGTGAGCCCAGCTTTGCGCTGTTGCCAGCCAGGCCCACCTGCAACCACCTGCCCATTCAGCAGGGGAAGGGGGCAGGGGGGCCCTTTGGGGATGGCAAGGAGCTGTGTGGCCAGTCTGGCAGCACCAGGGGCTGATGCCTATGCTCTCAGGGCCAGGGGTAGGGGCAGGACAGCTGGGAGATGTTGCCAGAGGCAGGGAGCCATGCATGGCCAGGCCAGCACACCTGGTGTGGTATGGGATGCCCAGTCCAGGGCGAGGGTTGCCACAAGTGTCCCCTCCTCCTCCCTCCAGCCTACGTTGGGGCTGGACTCGCTTTGCTGCCACCTGCACAAGCTCGAGCTGCTACAACTGCAGCCACTACACCCTGGCCTGGAGCCCCTCACTCTTCTCCTGCTGCCTGCATGGCCTGGGCAACAGTCATGCTCAGCTTAATATCACTGCTGTGGAGTGGAGTGCAGTGCTTAGTCCTTCCCCCTGGGCTGCAGCCCCAGCCCCAGCCCCAGCCCCAGCCCCAGCCGATGACACAGTGCAGCCTGTGGTGCCCCAGCCACTGCCTGTGCTTCCACATGAGGTGTGCTATATGCACCTTGTGATGGAGGCCATCTCCACTGTGTCCCTTCAGACCACTATCCTGTGAGTCTGCATGGGTCTGGGGGCAGCTGGGGGCCTGCCACTAGTAGGGCTGGGGGGAGCAGAGAGCTGTGGGTCAGGAGTGAGGGGCACTGGCAGGGCTGGGGTGGGGTGGGGGCTGTGCCTTGGGAGTAGGGAGCAATGGTATGGGCAGGGGCAGGACACCAGCATATCAGGAATGCTCAGCACCACAAGGCAGCAGGGGTGACAGCTGCAGCTGGACCCTCATCCTGGTAAGCAAAGGGGGCAGAGGGAGCACTGATTTTTGTATGATTAAAAAAACAAAGTCAAATGTCAAAACATATAGGTATTAGAATTTATTTTATTCTAATGATTGAGGCACTGGTACGTTCCCAATTTTTTAAAAATTGTAAATATGTCAATAAAGCGTGTTCAACTGACATCTATATATACAGTGGCATTTCATTTTAATTGTGGAAAAAGGTGGATTTGGGGTTTTTAAATTAAAGAATCTGGGATTTTTAAACAGAAAAACGTTGCAGATTGCTGTGGCATATAATATGCAATACTTTTTATCATCACCCTGGCAACTTCAGCTTTTCTGATTGTCCATCCAGTATACATAATAATCCTTCACCTAAAATAGCTTAGCAGGCTCAGTCAGGATAATGTAAAACATAATACAAACATATTCTTCTATCATTACTTCCAAATAAACGAGGAAATATTTATTCAGTCTAAAGTGCAAATTGTGCAGAACTAACCATTTTTAGCACCCTACAAGGCCAGAAATGAGAAAGTTACATGTGTAAAACTAGTCTACTTTATTGGTCAAAGACATTACTTAATGAAATGTATATTTTATGGGTGTCATACCCTGATCTTTTTTCTTTTTATGAAAAACTTAAATTACAAGTAGTAAAACGGGCTTTTACATCAAAGAACCTCTCTACAAAAAGGACATGCTTGTCCCATTTTTTGCTACAAAAACATAAAAAGCAACTCCAATTTATAAGTGTATGAGATGAGATGTTAAAGTACACTGTTAACACCTGACTACAATTTTTAATATAGTCAATATGTGGCCTTCTTTTAGGACAGTGATTGTTGTGTGAAACAAAATAGCACACATGCTTGAGACTGATACATGCAGCCCATTCAGAAGCAGAGATAAAATGGTGGATGGAAAAACTAGTCAAATATTACTCTTTAGTAAATATAAATGAAGAAATCTATTTTTGGACCGGTGGCAGGAAAGCCAGAGAGGAAGAAATACAGAGATAGCTGAAAGATAACAGATCATTAACTGATTTTAGAGATGGTCATTTTCAGAGCTAAAAAAAGGGAGAAAATAGTAAGGCTGTATGAAATTTTGGCAGCCATTTCATTTTGGAGGTGTTTCAGGCCATTTAGGCACCTGAAATACCAAATCTGAATCAAAACGGAAGGCTCAGAAACATCTCTGAAACATCCCCTCAGTGCTAGTCCCTGCCACGTGACCTGGTTGTGCAGGGAGCAGAGATCTGGTGCAGCGCAGGGTGGGCAGCAGCAGGGAGGAGATCCCCAGCACGGATCTCTGCTCCCTGTGGAGCTAGGTCATGCAGCAGGGCAGCGCTGGTCCCTGACGCGTGACTTGGCCCCAGAGGGAGCACAGATCTAGGGCTGCATGGGATAGGCAGCACTGGGGAGGAGATCCCTGGTGTGGATCTCTCCTCCCTGCAGAGCCAGGTCATGCAGCAGGGCGGTGCTGGTCCCCACCCCACAACCTGGCTCCACAGGGATCAAAGATCCACACAGAGGTCTCCTCGCCTGCATAGAGGACCTTCTCCTCCTACCCTCCCCCGTGAGCCACCCCACAGCTCCATCCTGCTGCCCTCTGGGGTCCTGCAGCCCCCGACCCCAAGCCCTGCCTGGCTGGGCTTTGAAACAGATTCGGAGGAAACAAAACAGGACAGTGATCCAAAGCACCGAAATGAATCATTGTCCTGCGAAACAGACGAATCTGAAACCGAATCGAAACACAGCTGTTTCACACAGCCCTAGAAAATAGCATGCATGTTAGGGATAAACAAAGACAAAAATAAAACAAATGATTCTTCCATAATGCAAGACCTTTTATTTCAAGCTTCCAAAATGGAGAATAATGAAATTGCAAATAGCATTCTGTGAAGATGCTGTAGGGCTGTAGATATAGTTTGAACTTTTGTTGACCCTGCAGTCTGCAGGTAAAGGAAAGTAGAGGAATGTACATAAAAGATCAAGTGCCATGCACAAAAGATCAGTTATTACCTAAGTGCTGTGTGAAGATTACCTGAGGGCCATGTGAAAATGACCTATGTGGCATGTGGAAATTGAGTACCATGTGCAGTCTAGGTATAAAAGGATCCTTCCCCTCAGAAGGTGCGTGTCTGTGCATGCCTGAGAGAGTGTGCACGGCTTGTGAGGGTCTAAACTTGTCTGTGAGCCTGCGCACCTGAAAGAGAGGCTGTAAGAAGGAGTACATGCCTGAAGGATAGTTCATGGCTGAAGTTACCCAAAGCTGACAGACGTGAGGGTAATACTACTGTATCTCAAGACTACATTGTCGACACTGTGACAGGAGAATACTTGATGGTAGTCCTGGTTCATTCTATCCTGTCCCTAGTAGTACTACTTCGTAATCTCCTTAGGTAAATATCACCCATCCTTCCCTTTGTTGTTATATGTTTGTAAGTCTAGTATGTTCTCCTATATAGATACACATATAATGTAAATAATAGGACTTAGGGTATAAATAGTATCTTAAGCTGTTTTCAATATACTGTAACAGAAATAGATTTTGTATTTTCTGGTTGTTATTTGTGGTATTTAATAAACTGACATAGTTTGTTCAAGTTTTAAAATCCGTGTTTGAGCATATAATTAGAATACATTAGGTCCCTTCTAGGGCAGTCTATCTAGTTGATAGACACTGGAGCATGGACTTTGC